CTATCACTGAAGCTATCACCTTATTGTTTTTAAATGATTAGTAAAACTACATTTTTCAAAGAAAAAACTTTAATAGATCCAAAGGATTTATCAGAAACCATGTCTGCTCCAGCGCATATCATAATTAGAATTTCTCTTAGTATTATGTCTTTAGTATAGAGGTCAGGACATGATCTACAGGGGCACTGGCCCCCGTTGGCCCCTGTCTGGAACCGCCCATGTTTATGTTAAAACAAAAACCATGGCATCTTTTAAGGGACCTGCAGCAAATGATTTATTTTAAGGTTAGTAACCATTATGTTTCATGGCAACATGAAATCATCTAACTTTGCGTTCTTCTGCAGCACATTTTCCATCCACTAAACTTTCCATTACCGCCTCTCCATACAGCCAGGCTCGTCTTGTGTCTCCTTGGAGAGGGGCACCTGAAAAGCCAATATTCTTTCCAATGATCATGCAGATTATAAGTTAGTATTTCTTTTAGAAATACATGTTTATAAAACATATAAATGAGGATTTCATTTATTCTAAGCCTCAGTGATCATATTTATAGGAAATTAATATATATATATAACAGGAATTAGGGAACTGTCTTATCCGGCAGAGGGGTGTGGGTTCTGTGATGATTGAAAATGAAAAAAGTAATGAGGAAAATTTGGGCGTGTTCCAATACACATTGAAATGTTCAATAGTAATACATCAATTGATTGTATTATTTAATTCCCCAGAATGAATAAAAATGAATCAGACACGCCTGGATCATGAAGCCAGACTTTTTGGAAAAATAAAAACCTGCTGGTTAAAATGTGATTGGTGCATCTATATGGTTGTGTGTGGATAAGAGAACCAGGCTCCTTCGTTGACACTCCTAATTTCATGATAATCTGGGCTTGTTTAGTTTTGGGTTTGTTTTCTAGTGGTTACTTGTGATTGATTGTGAGCTTTCTCAGTATTGGTAGTTATTCCTCTGCTTATAATCCTCTAAAATGACTCCACTCAGTGAATCAAACTCCCCTGTTCTTTTTTTCCAGTTTTCCCCATCTATTTATCAGCCTCGATTTCCTTAATTGTGGGAGATCAGTGATCGGCTGACACTGAAACTGGTGTTTTCCACATATCTTTTCTACGTCTGCAAAGGTCTACAAAAATCAACAGGCTAAACTTTGATTTATATTTGAGAGCTGTAATTTCTCACTTTTTTTATTCTTTCACGGGTGCTGCTTAATGCCTTTTAGTAAGATAAGATTGAAATATTGAATGTGTCTTGTGATGTTGAAACAAGTGATGTCTGTTATTACAATAAACCTGTATCAGTCAGAATCAGGCTTTTTAAAGATGGGGACTCAGTGAAACTGTGCACCCCTCATTTTTAGTTGATTCTACCTCTATTTTTTTTTGGGGGGGGGGGGGGGCTGTATACATATATTGTGAAGTTTTTTTTTGGTCAGAATTGATAATTCTTTTGTAAGTTTTGTTTCCTTTAGATCTGTTCAATGTATTGATTCGTGGATGTTGTTTGAGTATCAATAAGAGCAATATATCACATGTTCGGACTGAATGTCATACTTTCCAAAAATTGTACAGCACAACTTACTCTGGTATTTAATTGAAAAAAAAAAACCCAACCAAAACCTTAAATTATAGCTACTGTATCGCAAAAATGATTAGCAGTTCTGGAAGTTTTACTTTTTAAATCCTCCAGACCATCCTTACCTCAGACAGTATATAAGGGATGACTCCCTGGATTGCACTGGATTGATTTGAGCACAATAGGAAATCTGCTTAGAATTATGTCTGTGAAATTGACATCGCTGAAGCAAATGGAGAAATAATGCAGCTTGAGAGGTTTGAAGAAACATTTAAGTGAAGCTCCTTGTGGGTTTCTTTTGTGTAATGATGCCAGCTGTTTGTGCTGAGGCTCATGACACCAGTGCTCTGTTCCCTGAGGATGACATTCAGTAGAAACAGCACAATATTTAGGGAAAACAGTGAGTCTCAAATGAGGAGGAGCTACATTTAACTTTTTGTTGCCTGCTTAAACCCCCCCCCAAACCAAAAAAAAAAAACAGCAGTCACGACGCTCACTGTGGAATCATGGGAATTAATTATCAACAGGGCCAAAAGTGCTACACTAGAGCTGAAGCCCGTGGAAGATGTTCATTTATTCATCATCAGTTCATCCTTGTCAGACGTTTGCCTTGATGTGTGTCCCCCACGGGGCTTCTGACTTGCCGAAAATTCATTATTACCACCGCGTTTGTGGAAAGGATGACTTTCTTTTTTTTTTTTTTTCTTTTTGCAGCATGCATACCTACGTGTCACGGTCATCAGGGCTGATTGAGATAAATGAAGGAGGGAAGTGCTGGGAAGAGACGCTTCAAATTTTGCAAAAAATGATCACCTTCAGCTGTGTAACCCTTATATCTTTCACCAAAAAAAAACATGAAGAAAACAGCCCAGATTTCAGTTAACTTAACTCTCGTCTTAAAATGAATGATTATCTGTTATTAACTTCTCAGCGTAGATTTGATAGTTCTGTTAAATAGAATGAAAGCAGCAATAGCATTTCAAAAAAGTTAAGCCCTCCTTTATTTTCTTTTGTAATTTTCCTTTATTTGCACACGAATCTTTTAATTTGTATCAGCTAATGGAGGATGTTTGCTTCTATAGGCAGACTACCTCCTAAGTGAAGTTCTCCTTTTTGTAGTAGACATTTACACAGAAAATCTGCAAGTATGTAAATGAAAAGTCAAGAAAACAATGTTCCTGATAACATTTGTACTACTCAACATAGATCTGTACAGCAGCTTTTCTATGGTTGTGTACATGTGCTGTCAGACTCAGACCGGGTGCATACGCTCTGTAATATGAACAGACTTAGCATTAGCTGCAGGCAGGTGGAGGATTTAACTCACTTACCGTTCTCTTTCTGCATGTTTTACAGATGGGAAACCATTTATATATATATGTGCACTGGAAAACATTTCTCATGCATCTTGTTTTATTCATTCTTTAAGGTAAAAAATTAGAAAACATGTGAAGTAAGAAAAACTTAATTGGTGTCATAGATACAAACTGGAGTTTGACATTAATGTGAAGTAAAAACAAAATATCTTGCAGGTTTGGTCTTGACTGGTTTTGAGAAATTATTCAGTGAACAGCTCATCTGAAATGGATGTGCATCTGGGTAATGATGCAGGCAGGAATGAGACAAGACTTACTAAGAGTACTCAGTGCCAGCTTTGTTCTTTGGCCTTTAAAAGGCTCTTTGTTGACTTGTGTTTGCTAAAAATCCCTTTGAGGCCTTCATGCAAAAGCGGTTTTACACTGCGATTAGAGGACATACATATGGACTCTGTGAATTAATTGGGTTAATTTT